AGCATATCCTTTTTTAAATCAAGAAAATAATATAGATGATATTTTAGATAAATCTTTTAATAAACTAAATATTGTATAATATAAGCTTAATAAAATTATAATAAAACTATAAATTTATTTTTTATTGACATTTTGCATATTAAGTAATTCTGCAAGTCTTTGTGAAACTTTTCTGAGTTCTTCAAGGTCATTATCATCATTATCAGTTCGTTGCATTTGAAGATTCTTAAATATCTCATCAAGAGCTAATTTTTGTTTTTGATTTAAACCGGATCCAGAATTGTTAGGTTTATTAGCACCTGATTCATTTGGATTAGATCCTGTACTATTTTCTGAACCTCCTATATTTCCAGTACCTGTATTTGGTCCAGTTGTATTTCCACCAGTCAGATTATTACCTCCTTGACCTGTATTTGAACCAGGATTACCAGATGTATTTTCAGAACCTGAATTTGATCCTGGATTATTTGGATTACCAATTGAATTACCTCCTCCTCCCGATCCAGAACCACCACCACCATTATTAATCAAAGGCATATTTCTTCCTCCAAATCCATTTACATCTCCCAATAATAAAAAAAAACATTTACCCTTAAAACTAGTCAACTCCTTTTCATGCACATTATAAATAAGCTGAATAATATGATCTGAATGTGGTAATGTATACCAATTTGAATCAACTTTTTCAATTGCAAATTTTTCTTGGGCAGGATTTAACCTTTGTAATTCTTTTACTGCATTGTACCATTCATTCACAACATTTTCATTGGCAAATATACCTAAATATCTCGTATTTTGAATATTTTGACGTGAAATAAAATAAATATAAAATGGCATTATTTTTTTATTAATAAATTTCAAATTATTCTTCGTCAGACAATTCTATATAACTATTATTGGTACTAGTATTACTACATTCACCCGATTCATCAATTCTGGCACGTTTTATATTTTCACTCTCTCCTTTTTCAATTTCATCTTCCTCATAACTTATTCTATGTTTCCCATTACTATTTTCATAATTTAACATTTTATCATATTCGAAATCCTCTAAAGTTAACAACAATTCTTTTTCATCCCCATCCTTATCTATATAACTAATAACCACACTTCCACCATAACGCAAAGA